GAGGGGAAGGGGGAGGGGAAGGGAGGGGAAGGGGGGAGGGGAAGGGAGGGAAAGGGAGGGGATGGGGAGAGGGGAGGGGAAGGGAGGGGAGGGGAAGGGAGGGGAGGGAAAAGGAGAGGAGGGGAAGGGAGGGGGAGGGGAGGGGACGGGAGGGAGAGGGGAGGGGAGGGGGAGGGGAGGGGAGGGGAAGGGAGAGGAGGGGAGAGGAGGGGAAGGGAGGGGGGGAGGAAGGCAAGAGAAGAAAAGAAAAAAAAGAAAGAAAAAGAAAAACGAAAAAAGAAAGAAAAGGAAAGCTGGAGACATGAGGTTAATCCTATGTTACTGCCTAACCAGAAGCCCAACCTGACACTGGATTAGAGCAACAGCACCGAGATGAGAAAAGACCTAGGCCCACTTCTCCTCAGCACCCCTTCCCAGGCCACGGTCTTGTATTTTGCCATTTCACATATAAACTCCCTATTGTACAGTAAAGACTCTGACTGGACTTTGCCCCTGGTTGGGAAGAGAGAGGGTTCTAAATTCTTGGAACTACCTGAGCAGTAGGAGTGTCTTTATTTTTGATGAACCTCTTGAGTTTACACTAAGATGAGATGACTCAAGCTGGAGTCTCACCACCAGAAAAACCAACCATGCAATTAAAGGATCAGGGTTCTAAGCCAGCCCAATCCCTGAGAAAAGGAAAGGAGGGAACTGGAAATGGAATAATTGGCCACATGGTTATACTCAATCAATCCTGCCTATGTAATGAAACCCCAGTGAGAACTCTGGACACCAAGCTCACTGGAGCTTTTTGGTTGGTCAACACAACATGCCAGGCAGGTAGCACACCCTAGTTCCACAGGGACAAGACACAGGAGCTCTGCATTTGGAACCCTCCCAGGCCTCACCCTATGTGTGTCTTCATTTGACTGGCCTTAACTTATCCCCTCTGTAATAAAACATAGTTGAAAATATAGTGCTTGCCGGGCGCGGTGGCTCAAGCCTGTAATCCCAGCACTTTGGGAGGCCGAGGCGGGTGGATCACGAGGTCAAGAGATCGAGACCATCCTGGTCAACA